AAGGCTGGAGATTTTTAGGGAGAAGGTATAGTGTCAGGCCTTAATTTTGATTTACAAAACTAATTTTTCCAATTAGTGTACAAGTGTTAACTCTGGTATGTACGTTTCCAGTGCTCCCATGGTGTATTATGCCTTAACCTATCTGCATGATCATGGTTGGCAAGCAAAACCAGCAGGACAAAAAAAATTCCTTTTTCTGTCCTCTTGTGTGGACAGGCACTTATAGGAAATACAACTTACGTAATAAGCCAGTTTAATGATATAAACAAACATTCTTACAGAACTGAATTATCAACTTGCAAAAGAACTCATTGCAAGTAGTTTGATTAATTGGGACAGCATTTACCGAATGCAACATTTGTACACAATGGTAAAAAGAGGACAACGCACAGGAAAATAGACAAAATCTTTTAAAGCACAAGAAATAGTCAAAACAGATGTACAGTTGCTGCAGCCTCCCATTTGCCACAAAATGATACTGTAGATCACCACTCAAGATCAGAGTGAGTTCATATTGCATGAAGTCTTAGGAATTAAAAAAAAAAAAAAAAAAAAAAAAAAGGTAGGTTTGGTTGGGATTGTAAGGTTTACAAAATATCCCAACCAGATTTTGGGACTTCATTTCTCATTAATAAGTATCTAACCAAGTATTTTTTCATAAAACTTCAGGGGTCTGTTTTCTTCCACGCAGAAAAAGTGAATACTACCTTATATTGCACTAGACCCTCAAACTTGTACATGTTTTAGTTATCATATTATATTGATAATGAGCATTCAAGATATAGGCCATTAATGCATTACATTTTTTCTAAATCTTCATATCTGGGATACATTTTTTGAAATGTTGAGTGGGTCTTAGATTATTCTTCAATGAGCCACAGCATTTTATACAAAGTTTTCTTAGCATGCACTCTCTCTTTATGTAAACTTAACTATTAAATATGGGATAAAGAAATTATATTTTCCCCTTTCACATTTTATTGATAAAAAAAAAGTGGCAGTTCAAGATGGTCTCATGGTTCACTGTCAATCTGGAAGTGGAGAATCAAAAGATTAATTCATCACAAAGGTAGTAATCAGTCCAATGAATAAACATTTCCCTCAAACAAAAATAAAAGCTTGTAAAGAGTTTAAAAAAATAAGACAACTAGCAAAATTAAACCTAACAGCATGCTACTTACTCCATTATATGGAATACTGAATGCAGCAGTAAGTTGTCAATCCTGTCACTTAAGTGCCAATACAGAACCAGGTTACACAACCAAAATTGTAATTCACTTTACCATTACTCTTAGATTTAAAGACTTCATTGCTTTTGGCAATTCTCATAGGAGGGCACACATTGCAAGTGAAAAATACAAAAGGTCAAGGAGGTAAAAAATTAAACTAGTTTAAAGACAAGTTGATGCCTAGCACACCAATCACTGGTAGCACCAGCAAGCTAAACTAACTTTATACAAGAACTTGTAAAAATTAACTGCGAGAACAACATTTGCTTTAGGTCAATGCCCAATTCCAATGAATAAATTGGAGAGAATTCACAAGTAAACATAACTTGAGACTTCCACCTCCTGGGCATCAATTAACAACTGTAACAAATACTTACTTGTATAGTAAAAGGGGATAAGGTAGTGGAAAGCAGTCTACTTGGACCTCGCACGCATCTTCCTGCGCTTACGCTTCAGCCTGCGCATACGCTTCTTCCTCCACTGGAAAAAAATATTGTCCATAAGCAAGGAACTTTATTATGCTGCAATTAACATACTGGTAGCAAATATTTCTTGGCATTCTTTGGTATAAATAAGGGCCTTTACCCTCCACTAACTATATTTAATAATAGAAAACTTAAAAATTAAAGTAAAATTACACTTACATTTAAATTTCTCAAAATACCACCCTAAACCCTGAAGGTAACTTTAGGTCGACATCAAAAAGAGCAAGCTATTGTACTTAGCGCGGATTTTGCGTTCTATGAAAAAGGTCTATCAGTAGAATATAAAAGTATCACTCTGCTACCCTTAAATATGTTATTAAATAAATCAGTACTTTAAAATATCTGAACCCCTCAGCTTTTCCTGGTTGGGGCTCTCGGAACTTTATCCAATATTGTAAACAGCAAATGGAGGAGAAACCATTCTTTGCTTTACCCCGAAGTTCTACATCGGGATGATAATTAGTTACTTTCTCACTTTTCTCCATGGTTATACAACTTAACAGTATTGCTAGCATGTCGACTGGTTGGTTTGGAATTGAACTGGGTTAACAAAGAGCACGAAGTCGCACCAAAACATGTAAAATATGAACACGTGACGTTACCCTCCCAACACGCAGATGAAAAAGTTCCTCATTTTACATCGACTAAAATACTATTAATCTTTGCTTACCTTTGCTCGCATCTTGTCGCAGTATCAACTGTAACAAAAAGAGACCACGGTTAGAATAGTTTCTAGACAAAATCTCAAGTATTATCACAGATGTTAGAGGATAAATCCGAAAGGCG